TGTGAAAGTGCTTTGTATCAAGATTCTATCAATAGTGTACTTTGCCTGTATTGATCGGTTTACTAAGACTGTATCCACATTTCAACATTTTTCCACGTTTTACTGCCTTTTTTAAAAGTAGTTCCAGTTCAGTGTAAATAAAAACTAACAGGCTGAGCAAAAAAGAGATAAACATATCTTTGATCCATGAATTAGAACCAGTCCTTGTGGTAGTGGTAATAATAATAATAATAACTCATATTGATAACTATTTTGGCCATTTATCATCATGGATAACTGTCAGCTATTGGATATCACATGATTTGTTTAAAACTTGGGTGTTTATTGCTCAAATATAAAAGAGAGAGACTAAAAGGGCATTTCTGAAATATGCTAATTAATTTAAAGATTTTTTAAAAAAAAGAAATGAAAATGAGGTAGCATTCAAGTGACACTGCTATTTCTGGTTGCTTCAAAACTCAGAGAAGACACGCTTTTCATTTAGCAGCTAATACACAGAGGGTTTAAACAGACGCTCAAAAGAAAACTAATTAGACATACCTTAACTGGACTTGAACGGCAAAGTCACATTTGGTCCCAGATATGTCCCTAAAGAATTTAAAAAGGAGGCAGATCAGGCTGGTCAGAACAGCTTCACACACAATTTAATAACAGCTCATTTCACTTTCATTTCTACGTCAGATAGCATCCGCTTTCAGAATCCTCCAATAAATTGTACAAGGGTATGATAGTGAAGATACTTTGACAGTGTTAGTTCTTCCTCCGTGTCGTCTCACTGACAGCAGAAGACAGAATGTACAGGGAGCGCTCTCACTTACATGGAGCTGCTGATCTGTTGAACTTGCTGTGGTGTTAATGCAAAGGCATAACATGCTTCCTGGAACCGCTGACTGTTGTCTGAAGCTGTGAAAAAAAAAAAACAGAAGCGAACAGTCAGTGAGGAAACATACAGAAATGAATAGGCACTAATGTCAGCTCATACTGAACTTTTACTGAGGGCAGTTTGGATATATGTGGACACAAAACTTTTTCGGTATGACACAAGGGGGAAGTGTTATCACTACACCCACAGCTGAGAAGCAACTTGTGGACTCACCGAGGCTGGTGGGCTTAATTAGCTCATCCAACACGTCATAGAATGGCAATCTCTGGAGCTTGACATCAGGGTGTACTGGGTGCAGGGCAGAGGGGAGGTGAGGCAGAGTCAGCTCATGCTTAGGCCCGAGTAAAGAAACAGGCAGCAGCGGTGACGGAGAACCGTGGCTGTCAAATCCTAGCTGGGCGAGGCCAGTGGGCAAACTGGATGCAGAGTGAACGCCAGGAAGAGCGAGGTCCACTGGCGAAACCATTTTGGTTGGGAAGCGCCGTCTGTAGAGCTCTTTGATCTTCATCTGCACTGCGGGACTGCAACCAGCCTTGAGTAGGTGGAGAGCTTTGGTCAAAAGTTCATGTTTGCGCCCGTGTTTATTCCGTCCTGCATACCCCAGCAACACTTGGAGCTCAGAAACTCGAAGGCTCATTACCATTTGCTGGTGAAAAACAAAGAGTGGGAAAAATAGTCTATATCAACTGAAAAAAAACCACATAATCTTACATAATGAAAAAAAATTGTCTTCAGGGTTTAAAAGATTTTTTTAAATCAAAGAATTCCTGCTCCATTTATTAATTACTAAGATGCTTTTCATCTCTGACAAACGCTTGAAGCAGGAAGAATAATAATGTTTCCTTGTTCCTTGTCCGACTACAATTAAATCTCAATAAAAGACCAACCCTTAAAGCATCATCGTACAGTATATTAAACTCACACAGCCACTCTGAGATGGCTCTGGTCGAGATAGCCTATTCACCAAGGTATACTTTTTCAAGGTATACTTTTTCAAAGCCTTAATTGATGAAGTGTCAGCACATGGTGCAAATGATAAGGTGTGCCCACTGTAACAAAATACAACTATGTAATATGCCAGAGACTGTATCTTGAGAAAATGTCACAGAATAGTTGATACAGAACTGGCAACGTTTGACAGAGCAGCTTGTGATATTGTATCAGATTGTGTTATAGTATAAGATGGACTTATTTTGTTGTAGGAAATTGTGAAAATAAAAGCAAAATCTTACATCATGATAGAATTGTGTTTGTTTATATTCTTAACAAACTAACAAACACTTCACAATGTAACAAATAACAGCCTTATAAATCATCACAGAATTGGACAAACACCTCTGTGATACAACAACACTGTATTACATGCTATTACACTGTAAAGGTACTCATGTTTTCATGTTAACTTCATGTGTGCTAATCTGTTGTCCCTGCTTGTGAACAACTGTTAACTGTGTCATACACAAATGTCAACACTGAAAAGACAACTTGCAATTATGAAGCCTATGTGCACATGTTTTCGCAATCCACTTTGGTTAATAATCAATGAAGTACAAGAAGTAAACCTTGAGGTAACTGTAAACATGATTAAGATCATTTAAATGTGGCCTGTAAGAATGTGGTGTTGTACCACAAAGATATAGAGTACTTTTTGATATCATTATTAGATGGACTGAACTCCGGAATGAGTAAACGTCAGATGCCTTTTAAGGTATATAACACGAGACTTGCCTGTACAATAACAGTACAGCTGACATGATTGACTTTAGCAAAGGAGGAGTGGCAGTAGTTCAGATACCGGGCTAGCAGAGGTGCAGAAGGAAAACGTTTAACAATTAAAAGTGTCTACTGTCAACTCACAAGTTGAAACATTAAAATAGAAGGTGAAAGGAGACAGCGCAGATTTAGTTAGCATAAGCCAGCTAACGCCGCCTGTATGATGCTGGTATAAGCTGTTTGTTAGCTGATGTTGGTGACTGAAAGAAAACTAAATGTGTTATTTATATTGGTCTGTTTCGTGTTTGAGAACAAAAAAATGCCAACATAGGTTACATTACAACTAATGGTGGTGAACAGTGACTAAATTTTATAGACTATCATAATATGTCAGAAGTAACGCTAATGAAAGTGAACCTGCGCTTGGATTCCAGGGAATAGACAGAGCCCATTTTTTAACAGACACTGTAGTCCGCACGGTGAGTTGTTGATAATGTCAAGTGGCTAAAGCTACAGTGTAGCTAGATTAAAAACGCTGACAGGAACGTGGGTTTGTCCCTCAGTAAAAGCGATATGTGGCCTTATCTGCAGGTGAGCCGTCGCACAGACAGCCTAACGGAACGTCGGCAAACAATAACAAAGCTAATGCTAGCGAGCTAGCCACCTGCTAATTGCTTGTCTGCTCCCTCCTGCTCTGCTGTTTTGTTATCATACGCTCTGATAGCGTCACTCCTCGGGTCTCTACTGTCAAGTAACACTAGTGCTACGACTTGAAAGTCAAATCTCAGTGTGTGAAACGTCTATTTGTCAAGCTAATGTAGGGGCTCGCTTTACCTTCAGTTCCGCACTCTCCGCCATCTTGTTACACTGGGTGCGCAGGCGCAAAAGCCATCCTCAAGGGACGGAGCCGTTCGAAAGCCGCTTGTGGCGCCTTCCTCGCGGCGCCCAGCAGGGGGCGCTGCTGCAGCACAAAACAGCTACATGTGGCTGGTTGTCCTGCTGACAACAGGAGCCTTCAAATCACATCCCCTTTGTTTAGAGCGTTTTGTTGCGCTGTTGAAAAAGTACACGACAATAACAGTGCTGCTTGAGAAGGCTCAAGACGTAAAATAGCCGTCCTCCTTTTTATTTACATTTATTTGCTGAAACGAGCCATTGGTTATTTGGGTAATCAACTGACAGAATGACTGGCCAACTATTTTGATTATTATTAAGTTATTTATTTATTTACTTAACATTTGCTGGGTATGTAAATGTTAGTATTTGCCACTTTTCTCTGTCTTATCATTGAATATTAAAAATATTCGACGATAATTGAATAATGGATCATTATAAGATGTCGCCTTGGGTTCAGGAAAGTTGTGATCGTGTCAACCACTGGATTAATTTAACAAATAATCGGCATACAGAGGAGAAAACAGTTTTCTTATGATTATCATATTGTTTTTAGGTGCTCATTCAAAAAGAGTACGTATTGCTTTGGTCATATAACACGCAAAGGTGAAAGTTGCAGTCATGAATAGAACAAATTCGTTGCTTTTCCCAAAATAAATGGCTAAATTAGGAGTTGCATTAATACAGTCCACTGGCTCATGGGATCATAGCTGCTGGATTGATTTATGCATCCAAAACAAACATAAACAAAGGGAACTGCGCCTGTAGACCACACTGAGGGCAAAAAAAACCCAATCACATTTCTTTTAATAAAATGATTTATTAATTAGCGATGAAAACAAATATTACATGGACAAATAGGCTACTCTTAATAGAATATGTCGCTACTTACAAGGTCGCAGATGCACTAACTTATTCTGTGTTTGTCAAGTCTTCCAAAACAAAAACAAACAAAAACAAACAAACAGGCGTGGTTTGACCGCTACAAATAAATATATTGTAGGCCTATTTCGATGCAGGGTTTTTTATTTATTTTTTATTATTTAAGTCCCATCACTCGTTTAAAGTGCATAACATCCAAAGTAAGCTACTGGCCTGCAGAAGAAGGAGAACACAGCAAAAGTCGTCGGCTTATTTACATCACTGGGAGGATACTGAATGAACTGGCTAGTCAAAGCTGCTATTGTTGACAACAACAACGAAATAAAAACCAAATAACAACCCACCATCACAACATACATACATCGTCATTGCACTTTGCCACAAATAATAAATAGAATCAATGGTATAATTTCAGTAAAACAAATATCAGATGGTTACATAAACGCTAAGGGGAGGGAAGATACACATTTTTAAAATATATATTACAGTTAATTACAGTTTATCTACTTGGAGCTTGATTCCTCAGAGTGTCCGCGGAGGGTTTTTTCTCCATCTCCCAGGGTTTTGAGGTGTCTGACAGAAGCTGCGGATGTGTCCTTTGTTGCTCTGTCATAGAAATGTGTGTGATTCATGGAGGCAGCAGAGGAGATTTGAAGGAGCAGGAGCCGCTGCAGTGGCGAGGAGTTAACATCTTACAGGAGAAATGGTGTAAAGCGTCGTGAGCTTCTATGAAGAAGGAGATAAAACCATCAATAGTGTACGTGCGCGTGTGCGTAAAAGGTCCTGAAGGAGGAGAAACAGTCTGCAGTTCAAATACTTACTGTACTTTAATGAATGAAGTCTGCTTAAGTTATACAATAATGTAAGTGAGTGATTTAAAAGTGGCCAAAAATGGTGTGAAACACGTTTGGAGACGTTTATTAAGCGATTATAGTCTGGATTCATGACGGCTAATTGTCTATCTGAGAGCCGCTGGGTGCAGAAATGTGGTTTGTACACCATCCTATACCTAAAAATGGTCTTTTATCTCTTTCTGGATGAATTAGGTGTCTGTGCAAGAGAGGCAAGACAAGTAAGATGGGCACTAAGAATTGTCCATTTAGCCCAAATCTACTGAAGTAAAAACGTTTTATTTATTTTATTTTAACCGATTTATCATTTAAATGTTAAAAAATAATTCATAAATCACAGGTAAAAATGTCGAAACACCACCCTACAGATAACCCACACAAACTGTGCACAAGTGCTGTCATCGTGCAGTAACATGTGTGGAAAATATGCCATTAAATTAGAAAAAGTTTAGTCAGAGCGCCGCTGATTCCGCTGCTTTATTTTTCTCACCTCTGACGATGTGAAGCTGCTGAACCATCTCCTCCCTGTAGGACAGTTCCCTCTTCATCTGATCCTGAAAATTATCTGAGGAACAAATGGAAGACATAGATTTGGATCAGTGATGTGGGAGGTGAGGCTCCATTCAGGGAAGGGGGGAAAAACACAACTTCCATAAATAAAAACGTAATTTCACAAAAAGGAACGCTTTTATTTTGCCAACATTCTCCCCTCAGTTACCTACAAAAGCTGCTCTGTAATTGACTCTCTGATATTTGTCATAAATACTCATGTCAGCCCAAAAAACATGAGATGATGAGGTTTGTTGAGACTGATGCGAGTCTTTCCTACACACGTTGGCTTTCGTGAGCATTTATAACACTTAATTGTGAAAATGTTAAATGTTAATCTGATCGGATGACCAGTAGAGGGCGCTGGTGTCAAGTTAAAGCCACAAATCAAGGCTCCAATTTGTAGCAAACAGTGTAATATTATTGAGTGAAAATACTTAAATACATGTTTTATAGTGCAGATTAGAAATTGGAATATAAATATAAAAATAACTGTGAATTAATTAGATTTATTCAACTTAATATTATTGTAACACATTTAGGACGAACGGAGCAATGAGAGTTTAAACTAAGTGTAAATAAAAGAAACAATGTTTACAAGATGATCTCTTTTTATATTGTTATATAAAAACATAAGAAAAATGTAAATATATCCATTATATGGACCTGTTGAGACATTTTATTTGATGCTGTAACCGCTGCGCTTTGTTAATATTTTAACAGTCCTATTTGCAGACAACACAAGTCTTTGGCAGGAGGGAATAAACATTTGGAAGTAGCGCAGAACAGGGTTACAATTAACATTACAAATAAAGCAATATTGCTGTCTTGTCTTCATATAATACTTTGAGTTTTTAAAACCCAACTAGATTCAAATATTACCGGTAGGTGCACACAAAATAGTATATTTAAGTGTTCAGAGCTTTACAGTTTACGACACCTTGCGATGAAATGATATGATATCTGCAAACACTGTATTTGCAACTTAAAGAGATGATCAAATCTCTGACTGAGAGCATTTACTGAACCAAACAATATGCACGCGTTCAGTGCTTTTATAGATCTGAATGATTTTTTCTAATTAAAGTGCTTTTCCTTTGACATTTCCACAAAGGTGTGACAAGATAATAAAGTTTATTTCCACCCAAAATGGATGAAAACCAAACTGGATTATATGTGCTGCTCTTTAGGAATTTAGCCATTTTATTTAACTGTCCTTACACAACACAGTCCCTTGCAATTCCTTCTTGGAGATGCAACATTTTGCACAATTAAGTGAGCATTTTTTGACATAAGCTGCTACTGAGACACTTAAATATCATGAACAGCGTTGAACAAACAGTTGAGTAAGTGAGAAGTTTTGGAGACAAGTTAGAGGGTTAATATTAGTTCAAAATACTGCAGGAGTCTGAATGTGAGCGGTGTTTAATTTGTATTACACATGAGAGTCACCTGATAACACATAATAACTGTCAGGCATTTTTCACTTTAAGAATTATGATCTTTACAGGACCAGTCTTTGGCTTTTAGTGCCACATATCCAGATGGTCTTAATGCACACACCGCAGATGGGAATTCTGGCATATTCTAAACAGCTTTACATCAATTTTGATATTTCAGTTTGGCAAATGTTCTTTCTTGCTCTTTTCTTACCTTGAACTTTTTTAAATGTGTATGTCCACATATATCGGAAACAAGATATTTGTTTGCACTGCATCAGTGCTGCAAAATAAATCGCATCAGAGGAAAAAATAGCTGATATTTTAGGACTCACCTCCAGCACATGCACAGCACTACTGAGTTGGATTTGGTCAAGGGTGGGTCATATTTTGGCCTGACTCTCAAACAAGAGGAGCACTTCACAAACACCAGAAAGACTTTTGAGTCCGTGTAAATAAACTCACTGATGGGGTGATGAAAAGCCAAAATACTGAAGAAAAAAAAAAGAAAGAAGAAGAGGCACTTTTGCAGAATTTGGCTTACCTTTCAAGTTTTGAAATTCACGTTCCAGCTTTTTCCTCAGCTCAACTTGCTCTAACAGCTGCTTCTGCAGTTCCTCTAAAAGGCAGACAAAATAGAGGATGTTGGAGGAGAAAAAGATACAGGCCTTTGTATCAGCTTCCATCTAGGACACTTTTCTATTTTTAATGACAGTGATGAGGACATCATCATCATCATCATCATCATTATCATCATGCACACTGACAATTCAGAGCAGGTCTTCCTGGGCCTGCAGGTAAAAAAAGAAAAGAAAAAAAAAGGGAAAAGAATCCTCCCTTATGTTTAAGGAAAATACAGAAAATAGAATATTAGAAGCGTTGTCTTATTGAGGTTAGAAAAAGACTGTTTCAGCTTTTGCAAGTGACGGTTAATTAAAGGTCGCTGCAGCTCAGAAATACTGGTTTACAAGAGTTTGGCCTCAGGGCTTAGAAAGTGGTTGGAGGTGAGCGACAGGACGCTGAAAAGCGTTTAATTTAGTCAGCATGACAACATCTAATAACGCTGATGTAATATCTAAGAGCAATTTTACAAAAATAAATGAAAACGTTTGGTGTCATCATGTTAAACAGAAAAGAAGAACGTGCGTAAAATACACATATTTAACTACATTCAGTAATAATAATAATAATAATAATAATAATAATAATAATAATAATAATAATAATAATAATAATAATAATGTTATCTGTCCATGGTTTTGTCTGTCTTACCTTTTGCCAGACTTTGTATGTCTCTTTGTGTTGGCTGAACTCTGGCTGGTGCGTCCTCGCCTGAATACATACAAAATAAATTAAATAGCTATTCTATTTGCAAAAAATAAAATTAAAAAACTGTAGACCTCTATATATCTCGAAACAGAGCTTAAAAACACACATTTAAAAAAAATCCTCTGGGCTGTCCTCGGTGTAACTTACCATCATCCTGCTCTCGCTGGTTCTCCTCGCTGCTTTGTTCATTATAAGATTTCGTTTCGATCTCCTCCACTGTGGAAGACGGCTCTTCTTTACTTGCACTCTCATCTTAAGAGAAAATAAATCGATGTAATATTTTTTTTTCTCCCTTTTTGATGCTTATTTTTTTATTTTATTTTATTTTTTTGGCAGCTAAATGTTTAAACAAAAAGCAGAGGAAAAGTATCGAACCATTTGTTGTTAGAGCTCCAGTCAGGTAATTGGCAGGTCTGAACTGATACGGACTGCTCCTTTGTTGCAGCTCACTCCTCTCCGCTGTGTAAACCTACAGGAGAAAGAACCACCACTTCTTTGAGGCTTGGTAAAAAAAAATAATAATTATAAATGTGCAACAAAAAAAAGAAGTAAAATTAATAATTAAAAAAATATACTCTATGTTGAAATGTATATATTTTTATTTAAAGGAATGATTTTTTTTCCTCCCTAAGTGATGTGGACATGCTGTTTTGTTGTTGCTGTTACACTGTTTTAAACATGAAACACAAATTTCCCACATTTATCTGCGTAAAAAGAAAAAAAAAAAAAGTACACACAGGCCAAGAAAAAGAAGCGCACTTGCAGAAAAAACTTCAGAGGAATATTACAGCTCGTTTTATGGCCAGTGTTTCTCGGTTACAAGTCACTCACTTCAGTAAAAGACGCAGCTATGTGGGTCTCTGATAACTGCTTGTTCTGCAGTTCTCTGTCAGACGACTGGGCCACGTGGAGGCTCATTTTCTGGGAATCCACCGCTCCGCTCTCCTGCATGCCTTTGGAGTCCGAGTCGTTTGGAGAAACACTGTGCGCCAAACCGGGAGGAGTCCGAGGACACACCGAGGACAGAGGCCGGGAGTCCTCCTCCTCCTCCTCCGGCGTTTTGTTCGTCTCCACGTCCACGTCCGGCTCGCCCTCGCTGTCCACGCACGGGGACATGGACCGGTAGCTCGAGCTCTCGCTTAAAAAATCGGGCGATAAATAACCAGTGCGACACCCGTTATACGCGCTCCTGTTGCCGTACAGTTTGGCGATGCAGTCTGCGTCTTTAATGACGGGTCTGAACGCGGAGACGTAGCTGATCTTCCGGGGCGGAAGGGTCATCCCCTCCAGCGGCCTCCCCTCGTCTCCAGATTTGTCGTCGTCGTTACGCATGGACTGGGTGCTGGAGCAGCGGTCGTTGTCAACCACGCTGTCTTTAGAGGTGTTGGTGCTGCGGTCACTGTGCTCGGAAATGTCCATGTCAGTCTGTCTGGGGGGGCACAGCAGCTCTGGAGGGGGTTTGTGTGGAGTCTGCGGGTACGGAGGCATCGGCAGCGCGCCAGCCGCGGGCCAGAACATGGGGAAGGAGTGATAGGCGCTGTCCTTGGTAGCAGGCCACAGGACACCCGGCAGGGCGGCTTTGCTCTGCTCGCCCATCATGCCGTCTTCTTTCTTCTGGCACAGGCCGAAAGCTGGGAACCCGTACGGATGAGGGAAGAGCGGCGGTGGGATCTTTTGCAGCATCCCAAAGCCTTTACTGGGCACCGGGATCACCGGGTAGCTGCGGGTGCTCGCCATCCCGCTCCGGTTGTCCTCGCAGCTGAGGATTTTTGCGGGTATCTCGGGCGACTCTCGGGATCGGTTGGGCCCTTGTGGTTTTAACGGAGAGCTGGAGCCTGACCCGCTGCCGGGCAGCGTCCTCTTGCGACTGCCTCCGTTGAACATGGCCTTCACATCTTCCCACGCGTGTAGCACGTCTGTCTGACTGCCTTTATCTGTTAATTTCAGATGTCGCCTCCAAGAATTAAAATTAGCTGCATCTGGCTGCGTGTATTTGGACTCCGGCGTGCGATGCGAGTGAAATATGAATTTATTGGGAGAAAAATACATGTTGCAGTAGGAGCACTTGATGCACTTGGCCCTGGAGCTGTTGTATCTGGCCGGGATGAAGCTGCCTCGACTCCCCCAGGCGCACTCGTGGGACACGTCAAAAGCAAAATTCTCTGGAAGTTTAGGAGGCGAATGAGCTCCCAGAAACGACTTACAAAGTCTCTCGGCCTCGCGTTTAGTGATCATCCCGCAGCGCCTGGAGGAAATGGGCATGGCACCGGCTCGGCGCAGGATCTCCAGCTGGACAGGAGTGCACTGGACGCAGGTGATCCCCAGCGCCACACGCCGGTTGTGGATCTCGTTATAGCTGTAATTCTTCAACAAGGTGTTAGATATTTGTGCAAGGCAAAGTCTCTCTTGGCCATCTATCACCAAAGACACGATGGGTATTCCGTACAGCACCGTCTCCCCGACCTGGTTGGGCTTTAAGTTGGTGGTCGGGTAGGAAAGTTCTTGTTTGGAGCTTGGCGAGGTGCTGGAGTCTCGGCCCGCAGGTATGGAGTCCATCCTTGGAGGCCTGGAAGCTGCAGAGATGACGTTTGGTGTGAACACGAGTCAAAGGAATAACAACCCAAAATAGAGCTTCATAATAAAGCTTCACTACAGCTTTTAGTTGGAGGACAAGTCTCCTGCAGGCCTGCGTTTTGATAAAGTTGAATGACTGCGACTTTTTCTATATTTAGAGACCAATCCTTCAGAATAATAGCAGATCAAGGACACGGTGGGAAATAGTAAAGTCCATGCAAAAAAAAAACTTCACCTAAATGAATTTTATTTGCCTTAACCTTCAGCTGGTTGTATCACGCTTCAAGTCCAAAGCTCTGTGCGCGCAAATCGCACAAAAACTGTCCGTGCAGACAAAATATCTGGTACCAAAACTCACCTTTAACGTCCGTGCAGCTCCTCCTCCGTCGTGAGCGACAAAAGCTGTGATGAAGTTGAATGTCGGAGCGGTGGAAAGAAAGTCTGGTGTCGGTTTTAGGACGCAGTTGTCCGTGCAGCACCGCCTCCCTCCTGTTTCTCTGCTCCGGTCCTCCTCCTCCTCCTGCTGCCTCTCTGCTCCGCTCCCGGTGTGTGTGCGGACGGTTTGTGTTGCGCCACCAGCAGCAGCAGCGTCCACATGGCAGGCAGACTGTAGCACAGCCCCCTTCACGACAACGACAGCAATCAAGTGACGGCAAAAACTTATGGCAAGGCACTCCCACTCACACAGGCAGTCTGCATTAACTATGGATTCATGAGCAATGAAGATGCTTTGATCAGAGTGTTTGGTCTTATGGCAGCCTGGAGGTCTGGATGGATGGAGATGTCCACAGAAGAGGTGCTTTTTGATATTTAAAATAATAATTCAAAGCACACGGTGAATCTACGTGCTTAAATAAATATATATTTTTTAAAAGCATCTTTAATATTTCAATAATCTGTAGGATACTGTGCCGCCATTGTGGTTCTAATTAATTCTTTTGCGCTTTCCTGTTGCAAAACGCAGCCTTCCTGACATTATGCATGGATGGGGCTGCGGTGGGATTTGGCATTCCGCTAAAACAGCAGGGACCCACCGACACATTGTTGTGTTCGTGGAGTCTGAATGCGGCGCGCAGGCCTCCGTCATGTGCTGGGTTCCCACGGATTCACCGTTTTACAAGCAATCCGGCCTGCACGCGTTGTGACAATAACCAGCTGCTCCAAAAGGTCACTCCCTGTGATCTGCGCTCAGCTTTTCTTTTCTGATTTTGTTCTTTCAGTTTAAAAAAAAAAAAAAAGGATCAGACAGAAAGAAAAAAAAAGTGTGGATCTTTGCGCCATAAGCGACGGATATTTAACTTTTGAAAGTCAATAAAAGCTTTGGGTTAATCATTTTCATGTGGCACACGCGCAGCGACAGGCCCTGATGTAATATTGATGAAGGTAACAGGACACGCTGCTGTTGGTCCTTCAGAGGGACTGAGCTGTGTGCAGCAGGAATGACAATACACCGGAATTATTCTCTCATTAAAAACAATAATTAAAAAATGCATCGCTTATAGTAGGCATATTACAATAATATTACTAATAAAAATAAAAACAACATCAAAATCTTAATGATTTACATCGAATTTATTCATTTCATTCATGTTTTCGTCGCATTATAGCTACAATTTGAAGTGGAAAACATGATATTAGGTGGACTTTATGCCCTTTTTAAAAAAATAAAATAAAATAAAATGTTATATTAGATTAAATGCACAGGCTGTAGATTATAATTGATCTTAATTTTAAAATACTGTATAAATCTTCAATGAAAATCATTTTATTGGCCTGAAAAATAAGAAAACAGCCCAAAAGAGCCACCAAATTCAGACTGAGTGGAAATTTGTTTATCCATCCATCACGTGAGATCTATGAAACGTACCAACATAAACCTCTTAATTATTGTTGCTATTGGATAAAATCCATTTTTTGATTTAATTGATCCAAACGCAACTCAAAACGCCTGTTCAACTGTTCCAAAGACTGCAAATAAACCCTTCAAATCCTTCCTCCACACTCTACCAATACTACAGATTTATTTGGAGTCCTTGTTTTCCAACCAAACGCAACACTCACACAATCACACACTGCGGCGAGTGGTGTGTAACAAGTGCGTTTCCAACAAACCTGCGCACTGTACAGGAAATGAGAAAAGTAACCAAACAAGTCAGTGGGGTCATTATCAGGCTTCTGCTTATTCTACCTTTTTTTTTTTGTGGTGTGTGCAAGAGAGAACAGCTCATTTAAAAGTGTGTCTGCATTAATCACAGTGCTGCATCAAAGTATGATAATCACCTGAACACTCTATTAAAATAAAAGTGCCAGCCCAGGGGAAATCTTACCTTACTCTTTAATTGTTTTGAGGCTTTGATAGGCTTTTTAATCTAAGATTAATTTATGCATTCTTAAATAACTCTACATATGATTAATAAGCTTGAAAATTAAAAGGAGACTGAAGCAATTATAACAAGTGGTTGGTCATCACCTCATTAGATGGTATTAGAAAGATGCAGTTTGTGTGTGTGAGTGTGTGTGTGTGTGTGTTTTCCTGATCACAAAAATTAACAGTGGAAGAGCAAAATGTGGAGAGACTGTTCAATGACAATCACTGGAAAAAAAAAAAGAAAGTGCTGCAGGCTAATTATTCTGGATCCTTCCAGTTTGCTCTCTATGAGTGGGTGAGTCATTTATTAAAAAGAGAAACATGATACATGGATTTGTAGCCGCGCAGATTCTAATCAAGATCAAGTTTAGACCGTTGAGGTGATCCCAACTGGAAGGACAACAAAAGAGAAAGATCAGCTGTTTGAGGGGCCACCGGAGAGACGCGAGTGAAAACAGTGAGACTTGCTAAATGGTTGCTAATGTGTAAACAAGACATCACCCCTCTTCCTGCTCTGATGTTTATTTGTCTCCTAAAAGCCCACCCCTGGGTCCTGACCCCCACATCCTCCACCGCTAAACGGAACATTTCTTCTCGCAGGAGGTGGTGTGTGTGCAGTGTGTGTGTGTGTGAGAGGAGTGTGAGTGAAGGGAGGGGAGGAGGAGGGGGGGGGGAGTTCATCACTGCATCAAATGAGGCTGAGCACAGGGACCCTTTTGTCACAGACAGGGACTCATCTGCCAATGGTGGGCTGTGAGGTCCTGGGGGAAGGAAGGAACAAAGGTGCTAAAAGGCTGTGTGACAATGAGGGTGCTCCGAGGAGAGCCTTCAAGTGTGGGACACAGGCTGCACGGGACAAGCTGTGCCAATCACTCCGCAATTACTTTTTTGTGCAATCCAGAGGCCTTGTGTGGGCATTCATGGAGGGAAGCAAGGACACAAGCTGCCATGTCTCCCTGAGCTTTGCTTGTAATATAGAGCTGACCTGAAGCTCGCCGTGTGGAAGAAATGTATAGAAAATCACCTGCTCTTCTGTTGTGGGGGGGAAAAAAAAAAAAAAAAAAAAGGTGAGAACACCTCTGGCAAATTCAGCTCCATTTTCATAATGAACCCATCAGAGAAGAATTTTTACATTGCAAAGATTCAAAGGTGTATTTATACCACAGTAATGGGACTAAGTGTATGTGACATGCTACTAAAGTATTCACTGAAGGCAACATGCTACATGACTGAAGATAGACAGAGGTCAGGAAACAGAATTCTCGATCCTGATGGCAGGGAAAGAAGCTTTTTTTCCCCCCATTTTGTCTGGGATGGGCACAAAACACTCGCCCCAAAACAAAAACAAGCATGAAATAAATGAACAAAATTGCTGCTGCAGTATTTAACCTGACACTGTAGCAAATGTGTGCTGAAGAACGCAGGATATATTATAGTTTGTGCAATAAAAATTTGTTTCGTTACAGAGAAAATCCTCCCATATTTAAAATAAAAACCTCAATACCTAATCTGATTGAGCCTTTAAGTTCAGTCTTTATTCTTGAAAACAGCCCTAACAAAGAAAATATCACCAGTTAACTAATTATGTTCATTTGCATTTACAATTTGCTTGAAATAATCAGAATTTTGAAGAAAACAACACACACGATCAAACTGATCCAATTGCAGGGAAAGTCATATTATTTCATTATCCAACCTCATCTACAACCAAAGTCAAATGAGCACTAATATTGCAGCGCGCACATCTCTCCACTGTTTCTACATAACAACAACTCTTAAACTTAATTGTCATTGTACTGACTGCTTGAGTATTTAGGGACTTTAAGTTTTGTGTATGCTACAGTGTAATAAAGGAAGATGCAGGAATTTGTCTGCATCCAACCCCGAGCAGTTTCAATAGTGTAATGAGGAGTCAAGTGAGAATGGGAATTATCGTAATGATAACAAAGGTCTATGCACCATAGCTTGGGGCTGTATTGTAGGGCATTACCATAAAGATGCGATGTGCTTGTATTGCAGGGTTTTTGTGAGGGAGCAGGCCAAAGCGATAATAACTATTAGTAGATGACAGTGCTTTGTGGGATTCCAGCTGTGGAGCCCAAATTTCCATACAGATAGAATGGCTCTGGGTGGATGATATGCGTATGTGGGGGAAGGGCTGGGTGACTCCGTGGACTCATCTGTGCACGCACCCACACACACATGCACACACACACGGTCTGGAAGTGGCAAATCTCAGTGCTGGACTCCGTCTTGGTGTCCCCAGTCAGACTTGGGGGAGGTGAGAGCCTCCGGTTCGAACACCCTGCCGGTCTCTGTGGAGGAACTGTCCAGAGTCCTGAAACAGCCCGCTGTTGCTCTGCTGACAGCTCTCAAAGTCGGGAAGTGCAAAGTGTATGTGTGCACGTGTGTGTGTGTGTGTGTGTGTGAACAGAGAACCAGAGATTTCCATCAAGATCACATGCAGGGGAGCCGGTGTGCAACATACTTGTCAGCACCATGTCTAACAAAGAATAAAAGCAGCCCTTCCTTAAAAAACTGCATTTTCAAGGTTAGAAACTTTTAAATGCACACCCACATCCTGGAAATACAAGGTGTATCCAACATATATGGG